ACTAGGGTCAGTTAAGGTAAAGATTGACCTTTGTCAGGGAAAATACTGACCTAGGATATGACTACCCACCATACACTGCTTTTTAATGTAAAAAGTTTTCATTTCAGACCATCCTTTGTGCTTAATTTAGGTCTCTTGAGTTTGCAAGACTGCCACACAGGCCTTCCCTGAGCTAGTCAGGTTAGCATGTAGTCCCTTTTCATCCACAAGGTTCTCAGATCAGACTGCTAGCGGAAATATAAACAGAAAAAATTAGAAGAGAGTGTTAAGAAAGCTGTACAGTGTTAATGTAAAAAAAAACATTGAAACCTGTAAAGAATTTTTGTGAGTTTATTTGAGCCAACTGTCGACATATGCTGGGAAGCAGAACCTCAACGAATTGAGATAATGCTCCGGAGAATGGCGGGTTACGTCTGTATTTATACATTGCAGTCAAAGGAAAGGGACGTAGGTGGGTTACATGAAATCCATTGGTGATAGACTAGAGAGGCAGGAGAAAGCAAAGTAGGGAAACCCCTGGGATTGGATAAAAAGTAAAATGATAGACACATACTTAGGTGGGTGCAGGAACAGTGAACATAACAATAAAGGAATTTGTGGTATCTGTCCTGGCGCCCAGCACATTAGGCTGTGCTCCAAGGGGTCCAGAAAAAGGGAGGTTACAAGTTACCCAGACATTTCAAGTGTATGTTATCATAGATGCAAAAAGACAGAGAGGCTCAGTTAAGGTAAAGGTTGACCTTGTCAGTGAAAATACCAGTCTAGGATGTAACTACCCACCATCACTGCTTTTAGTTAAAGTTTAATTTCAGACAATCCTTTGTGGTGACTTCAGGTCTCTGAGTTTGCAAGGCCGCCATGCAGGCCTTCCCTGAGCTGGGCAGGTCAGCATGTGGCCCCTTTCGTCCACACAGCGCTTTAGGAATGCAATTGGGTCCCTAAGACCTGCCATCAGAAAGGCTCAGAATCCGCCCTGACCTTGTGGCTCAGGGGTTGAGTGTTGACCTATGAACCAGGAAGTCACGGTTGGATCCCAGTTGGGGCACAAGCCCAGATTGTGTGCTTGATCCCTAGTGTGGGGCACGCAGAAGGCAGCCAGTCCACGAGTCTCTCATCATTGATCTATCTTTCTCTCCCTCTCCCTTTCTCTCTGAAATCAATAAAATATATTTAAGAAGAAAGAAAGGAAGAAAAAAGAAAGATTCATAATCGAGTTTTAAATAACATTCAAGCCTTCACCAAATGTCTCCAAGAGAAAACTAAAATTTTGATCCAGGGAGGGGAAAAATTACACTGCAGGCGCAGCTGGTTCCGCGGCCAGAGGTTTTGAAGGAAAAGCTAGGCGTAGACCAGCTCAGATTTTATCTTTTATTGACCTTAATCTTCAAAGAATTGAGCTGCTTTCTTTATCTGGGCGCCAGGCCCGGGGAATGTGGTCCAGCGCCCGGGGAGAGGGTGAGGGTTCCTGGGTCCCGGTCCTGGTCCGGGAGCTGGAGGCGGGGGCGACGGGCTCCTCCCCGGGCCGGCACCCCGCGGGGGGACAGATGGCCGCGAGTGGCCTCGCGGTGAAGGACGGTAACCTCCGGCCCAGGGCTGCCCCCGTGGTCAAGCCGGGACAGCCGCCGCACCTGACGCTCGGCCCCGCGGTCCTTACCCACGGCCACGCACGTGTCCCATTCCCGCTCTCTCATTGGCCCTTTCAGTCCCTCTCGGCCATAGAAGCCTGGGACATAATCGCCCCTCTGATTGGCCCAGGAGCTCCCATGTGTCATTCTGATTGGCCGATGGGGCTCACGCCCTCTCCGGTCGCATCAAAAGCCACTGGGTCTTACCATCAAGAGAGGAGGGGGAAACGTGAATTCCTGCAGACTTGCCTTTTGTATGACCAGGCCCTGTGTCACGTAATTGGCCTCTATCATGCACTACAGAAAGTTAATTTATTAACACAGATAAATATAGAGCGATTTCGCTTGACCCTGCCTCGGAGGACAGCCGAGGGGACCCGGAACCCCCCCTCTTTCCGAGGTAGTGCGCTCCGGGCGGGGCAGCGCCGTCAGGTTGCGACCCGGTACACCGTCCGGAGAACAGCCACTCCGGGAGCTGAGATGCCGCCGCTGCCGCCCGTGCTTCGCCGCGCCCTGCTGGCCCGCCCCTGGAGTGGGGCCAGGTGAGTGCAAACCGGGCCTGGGGACGCTCTGTCGCTCGTGGTCCCGGGGGTCGCAGGCGTCCCTCATGCGGGACTCCCTCCCTGCCGGACACCCACCAGGTTCCCAGGGGCTCCCCTCCGCGAGGGTCGCTTCTTCTAGTACCTCCCGTCCCCGTCCTCCCTCCAGGCCTTCCTCTCACTGCGACACCCCTGTCTCCTTCCTACAGCGAGGGGGACCCCCTTCCCGAACTGCGGCCGGGTGGGGGCCTCGCTGCTCTCCCGGCTCCCGAGCCCCGAAAGCAGCCTCCCACGCCCTGGTCTTGCTCCTCCCAGGCACCTTTCCAATGCGCCCACTGCCGGAGTGCCGGCTGCCCCCTGGGGCACCTCTGTTGTTAGTGCAGCACCCTCTCCGTCCCTCCCTCCGTCTCACACTCAGGACCCACCTCCGGGGTTCCGAGACTTCCCTCTCCGCTCTCTACCGGGACTTTTCCTCTCTTCCCCTTTTTCAAGTTAAGTGCTGGGCAGAAGAGGGAGTCCTTTCTTGTGACACGTGGGATAACGGGTGTGGAGAGCTGGGCCTTTGGCGTATGCTTTATTGTAAAGACCGAGTGAATTCATGAGCGTGCTCCAAACGGCGGCAGGCGCATAGGCAATGCCAAGTTACCGTCACGATCCTCGTTGTCACTTGCATTTTAAACTTCTGTGCGGTAGGTATTATTATTGCACATTACAGATGAAGACTAATTTCGGAGTGGAGTGCAAACCCCCACGGTGTGGAGTTGGGTTCACTCCATGACACTTGTCCTCAGAGCCCCCTCCTGCTGGGGACTGGGAGGGGGAGGTGGGGCACAGACCCTGCTTCAGAGGGGCTCCCAGTCTGGTGAGGCTGCCCCCCTTATTGGACCTGTGTTTCTGTGGGTCTGCCTTTCAGAGCTGGGCAGCCGCCACCCCCCCATTTGAGTGTTGTTTGCCTGATCCCCAGGACTGTGACCAGCTCTGTCTCCTGCTGAGCTAGGCTCTTTCTGAGTTAATCAGTGTCCTAAGGGATGGCACAGGGGTGCCCTGGGCAGGGGTGAGTTTCAACACTGCTGTGTGTCCTCCGTGGGTGGGGATGGGGTAGGGAAGGGCACAAGACGAGAACGTGGGGGAGAAGGTCTCCCCTGCAAGCCAAGGTTGGGGCCGTACTTGCCACCCCCTGTCCTGCATTAGGAGACCACCCCTCTCAGACTGCAGGTGGAAGGCCCATAGAGTTACAGTGTAACTTCGTTTCTTGAACGTAATTTGTTCCAGAACGCTGCTCAAAAAGCCATTTGTTCGCAAACGGAATACTTTTTCCCCATTAGAAATAATGTAAATTGAATTAATCTGTTCTAGAGCCCCAAATGATTTCCTGTTTCACCTTTCTTGTATACAGTACATGTCTAATGTACTCTTTAATTGATCAGTAAACACTTTACTTAAATTTATCAAACCACCCCTTACTAGCCTCCAAAATCCTGTCACCAGCTAACTGCTTTTACTTTATCCAAGCAACAGTTTTTCTACCTATTCAGTAGTCTGTGATTGCTGTTTTGTGAGCACTTTCACACCCTTAGCAACATTAGAACTCGTGGTGGCCTCTTTATGTTTTAAAATTGTGCCAACCGCCAGCAACAAAAGCATTCCCTCCTTTGCTTGTTGCCTGCAAGATGCATTTTGTCATGCTGAGCTTTCAGCAGGAAAGGGTTGTCAGATGGAAAACTGAAGTTTTGGTCGACAACCGAGACATTGTTTTCTGTGAACAACTTGGTCAAGAACCGAGTTGTTTGAGGTGGGAGACATTTGAGAAACGAGGTTTGACTGTACTTGTTTGCAGTACCTACCATGTGCAGGTGCTGTGCTAAACACTGGAGCGAGGGGTGCCCAGGGAATTTACATGTGGATGGGGCCTTCGAAGAGTTTTCATTTTAACGGTGGAGGAAGACTCAGACGTAAAAAAAACCCCCAAAAAACCACCCTCAGATATCTGGTAGAAAGCAATCCATGTTCTCTCTTTTAAAAAGCCTATTATAACAATAATGTTAATCAGGCAATCAAATACCACCGGCCTGGCACAGTGCAGATAAGCACTGCATTACCCCATTTTACACTTGGAGTGCGGGTGAATTTCCCGCCAAAATATAAGATGGCTCTGTCTTTTGGTTTTGTTCCATCCACCAAAAGGGTGGATTACAAACAAATATTTGGTAATACGCAGTTACAATCGGCCCGAGTTTACACGTTTCCCGCACTCCACCGCAAATCTATATGAACCGAGTTAAAGACGGCTCCCGCGGAGTACGCGCAATTCACGCGAGCCGACTTAACTCGTTTCCCGCACTCCAAGTGTTTACAGATGCCCACGGGGCACACACAGCGCGAGATCAAACCACCGAGCTTGGTAATTTCGGTAACTGGTTCTGTTTTCAGTGGCGTGCCTTTCTACTGCAAGCGTGTCAAACTCGCAGCTGGTGGGCCGCATGCCTAAATAAACGAGACATGTGGCCCTCCGGCCCAGAGTTTGACATGCTTTTCTACATGTGATTTTTATTTTTTCTTTAGAGAGAATGGAAGGGAGGGGGCCAGGAGAGAGAGAGAGAGGGGAACATTGATGGGTTGTCTCCCGGTGTGCCCCAGGGCTGGGGAAGGAACCTGCAACCCTTCAATATGGGCCTAAGCTCTACCACTGAGCCACACTGACCAGGGCTCTGCAGCATTTTTAACGGGCAGGCCTCTATTCAGAGGTGCACTAAGCCACACCCCAGCCACGTGCATTTGTTTACTCGAGGTGACTGGCGAATGCACGTATTTGCTAGGCCTATTCAGTATAAATTTAAAATTATAATACATATAGAAAACTTTTCTGTGAAAAATTTTAATTATACAAATGTGTCTACATAAGTAAAAAGAGGCAAACTGCATAATTTGTCAATTTTTTAACATACACATTCAGAGGACCTACTTTGTCATGTAATGGACTTTCAGCTTTAACAGATACCGCCTCACCCAAATTAATCTGTTTTATCGAGGTTTTACTGTAATAATACATTTGTAGGGTGGATTCAATGCGATAATCACTTAGCATGGTGCCAGGCATGGTGTAAGTGCTTAATAAATGCTCCTTGATGTTTCCGGGGCAATAAAGTGCAAACATCATCCTGCGCCAGATGCCCCTCCCTCCTGGACCTGCTCGGAGCCCCACACTGTGCACTTCCGCTGCTGGCCGCTTATCTCTGTGATAAGGAGGATTAACCTAATCAGGCCCCAGATAACAGCTGCCGAAGCCCGGGTGCTGAAGGAAGCTAGAGTAATCTCCTTTCTACTCTTCTTGGCCGTGGCCACCTGGGCCTCAGCCACTGGGGAGCCAAAGGGACCTGCACCCAGTCCCAGGTGTTAGCAGGTGCGCACTGGCCTGGGAGTCCAGTCCTGGGGGCCTGGTGTCCGCTCTGACACTGCTTGCGCATTAATTGTTTTCAAAGGTATTTCTCAGGTGCTAGCCCCCAGCTGGGCAGGGTGTCCACTGGTGAATGGAACGGACACAGGCCGGCCCAGCGGAGCTTATGGCCTGGTGGGAGCGCCGTAATGAGGGTTGTCACAGGTGCTGTGAGGAAAGTGCGGGGCTCATGAGGATCCGAGAGGGGCCCGTCCAGTGGTTCGAGGCCAGCCACATGGAGAGTGCCCCACCCAGAGGGGACCGCAAAAATGACCAGGGCGACTGGATCACAGCAAACGAGCTGGGAGGTGGTGGGGGCGAAGGCAATGGGTCTGGAGGCATCGGTAGGGATTCTGGCTTTTTGTTGTAGAAGAAATGAGAGGCCATGAGTAGTTTTGAGCCAAGTGCTTACTCTGTCTGATGATCGAATTTTCATGTTAAAACTGTAACTTTGACGGCGATTTGGAGAGTAGCCTGGTGACAGTGGAGCTGGAGTGGCCATTGCAGTTGTCCAGGCAAAAGCTGGTGGTGCCGTGGACCAGGGTGCAGGCCGAGGGGAACCTGGGAGGGAACTGAGCTTCCCCGCCAGCCCCACCCTGCCTCCTTTCCCCTCAGTTTTAAGGTTGCATTGGCTGTCCAGCCCTGATGTTGCCCATGGCAGGGGATGTTCTGATGTGGCTCCTAAAGCTCAGATTCTGGTACCTGCACAGGGTGGGGAGGGGAAGCTAAGGTCTCACACCCAAGCCAGGAGGTCCCCAGGTGAGCAGAAGGGGCACTTCAGGTTGTTAAGGAATCGGAGTTAAATTCAGACTCTGCCCCCTGCCTCCTTCCTGAAGCCAGAAGGCTGAAAGCTGCCCTAAGAATGGTCAGGTTCGGTTCATCTGCGTCCCAGACCCAGGCACCTGCTTGGTGGGTACTCAGGAAATATGTGCTGAAAAATGTGCAAGCCTTTTCTACCTCACCTGAGTTACCACTGAGTTCTTAAAGTGTGGAGTAATGTGTGCTGGCTGCATGAATGCATGAATGAATGAATGAACAAACAATGCAGGCCTTGCAGATCCTCATAGAGGCCCTAAGTTTGAGTGCTTCCTCAATGCCTTGCCCTGAGCCAATGGAAGGGTGTTTTTTTGGAGTCCGTGGATTTTTTTTCTTGGCTCTGTCCGACTCAGGATGATCTTTGAACTAGTCTCTGTCCCCGAGGCCACACTCAGACTGACGGACAGCTGTACCAGGGCCTGGACTTTCTAGGTTTAGAGAGCCCTTGGGGCGTGTGATCCTGAGGTCACAGTGGACCTCTGCCCTGGGGAAGGTGAAGTGAGGCCTGCAGGATTTCTGTTTCTGACCCTGCCTGGGAGGGGACAGGGAAAGAAGAGCTGATACTGATAGCGCAACATTTTCAGCTTCTGCCCTGGGTGGAATGGATGCTGTTTATTCCAGCCGTATTTGGTGAGCACCTGGGCCAGCCCCTGATCCTTGGGGTGTCTGGGAACCAATTTGCCTTTGAAAGCCTGTCATGGCAGAGTAAACATCCCGGAAGATCTTTACAGTTCCTTTAGAAGCTCCTAAGAGCAGGAGGAAGGGCAAGCAGTTTTAGTTCTCACGGGGACCTAGTGTTACAGAATAGTAAAAGCTAGGAAAATTCCACAAGTGGGATGGGGAAGCTGAGACAGAGAGTTAAACAGCAGTTTGTGCTCCCCCAGTAAATCCTATCTTCCCTAAACGAAGGACACTTGAGAGTAAATGGTTTGCACTTCTCCCCAGCCAGGGGGTAAATAGCTTAAACCACCCTACTCAGGGAGACATGACAGAAATCCATTTAAGTGCCATTTGCCAATCACACCCAAATTAAGAGAATAAATCTGATTTGGGGACATCAGCATCAAGCTGATGATTATTCTCTTGATCCACCCCTAAACACCCAGCCTTTAAAACCCCCCAAAATGAAGGTCTCAGTGCTCTCTCCCTCCAGGGAGCATGCCTGTGCCACTACCCCCCCCCCCCCCCCCCGTCTCCACCCCCACACTTATCCCCTGACCTCTAAGGGACCCCATAAGACTTGCAACCAAGGCAGCGGCAGCAGCTCTCCCCGGGCTAACCCCTGAACCTGTTTCCAGGGCCCCCTTCTCCCCCTTTTCTCTGACCTCCCAGTGAGCCAAAGCAGCCCAGCCCGGGCTCTCCTGTTGCTGCTTCTATGCCCTTCCTCGTTTCACTGCCCTTACGTGTGTTTTTGCTGCGGTGGATAAATTCTTGCTTGCTTTGCTGCACGTTGTCTCTTGATTGTCTTGGCTCAAGAAGACAAGAATCGAGGTTCCTCGTCTTGCCCAGTAACACTGGGATGGGACCTAGAATGACCCCCTCTTTCAGATGCAGGATATTTGCTGAGGTCTCTGAGCAGCTGTGGGCTTTGGTCTGGGATATGTCTGCTCAGAACCTGTGCTACTCCCACCCACCAGGAACAGGGGGTCGGAGAGGGGTTGGGGTGGCCCCTGGCTCCAGCCCAGCACTCATTCTCTGCTGACCCGGCCCTTTCTTGGCTTAAAGA